AGGTGTTATTTTGATATGAATCTGAACATGTTTTGTTACTGTTGGCGACTCTTACAGAAAGTACATTGATTACACATGAGAGAAATTAATGCGACGAAGCTACCAGCAGCACATGGTTTATGACAAATTGCTTCAGTTGGAGAAAGCTCATCAATTGGATCAAATTTCTTTCTTTTTAATTATTCTTATTATTTCTTCTTCATTAATTTATTATTTTCCCCGTTGAAAATTGAAATAAGATAACCAAAATCAGTAGAATAAAAGATCTTCATATACATTAAATTTTATGTCCAAGTGTGTCTTTGTTTATGGATGTGTTTTTCAATCTTGATGTATCTTTGGCCAGCTGGAATTTGACTATCTTGGAAGTATATCATGAATCTTCGTAGATAAGATCTGCATGGAAAACGATATGTTAATTACGAATTTTGTGAAAAAGCATATATATAAACCGCGATTCTCGGGCACTATTGTTATTTAAATCAATCCTTTTTACAACCTAAAAAATAAAAATTATCGTGTCTACGAAATTACGACGACTCACACGACTAGTGTAATATTTTAAATAATATAATTGTAATAAAATTTTAAAAATATTTTATAGGTCTTTATATTAGCGCATATTTACCCACACAGCTGCTTACTTTTTGTCATAGTCTTTTATTAGTGATGTTTCATAATAAATATAGAGAGAGTATATTAAAGAATAGAATTTAAATTTTCAAACAATACAATTGGGACACTACTACTCTTGTTATCATTGAGACTCTTCTTTATATGTATTTTTATGGGTTCACCTATCACAATTATGAAACACATTGTTAATTAAAATATAAAGAAATCATATAAACTATAAATTATTCAAAAATGATAGTTTAGCTTTTCATTTTTTATCAAAGTCAAATACTTCAAAAGACTATATAGCTTCTAGAAAAATACGCTCAATTTAAATATGAGACCAATATTTGATACATCTCAATATATAGTAATTCAATTGTTCTCCAATTTCTATTACATATGTTAACTCACTTATGATATGATAAGGTAGTTACTTGTATATTAATTTAATTTTCGGTGAACCTTAAACACAAGACAAGTGGTAGAAACATATATTAGTTTTCTACAACTTGCTACTTTCTTAGTTATTGATTTCATATAAAGTTTCGAGTAATATAAGATGGAAGTAAAAAATATATTATAAAAATAAATAGTTGGTTCCACAGTAATAAAGATTTTGTTACAAAAGTTAAATTGTGCTAAGGTATACATTTTTTTTTGTCAAAAGGTTACATGAATAATAATATTTTTTTAGTAATTTTTAAATAGTTTAAATTTATGTTTTTATTTCTATTATGATTTGTGATTTTATTTATGTTTTAAGGTATTATTTTCTTATTATGTCACTAACTCAAAACGTTCATTCTACGTCACAAGTTTCATGTCAGGTAATGTAAAAAATCATATAAAAAAAGTGCGATGATATTTCTATAAATAATTTGAAAAGTTTAATATTAAACATTGTCACAAAAAAACATTAAATCACCATTTACATTAGTTCTGGGTGTAACCAATATCAATTTATGTTAGCCTTGAGTGTAACCGACAATCAATTTCTTCATTTCGATCCTAGGCGTAATTGATGTCAATTTTTTTTACCTTGATATGTTATAACAACCTTTTCATTATAACTATTTTACAATAGTCATATACTATTATTTTATTTGGTTCGTTTAAATTTATTTTTAGAAAAATATTTGAAACGAACCAATTACAATTCACAATGTCTACGTTATCAAAATGTTGTCAAACACGATTGTTAAAAAAATATTTTTCATATTTTTTATATTCATATCTAAAGGTTTTTTCTTCATTTTCACCGTGAAATAATAAACTAAAATGTTCTTTCGATTAGGATTTCATCACTGATAGTGAAAGAATGTACTAAAACATTAATATGCATTATCTAGGTCATGAATAATTATCTTTTTAGCACATTTCATAACTCAATATTTACACAAATATCTAGTACAAAAAATTATATTAATATAAATATAACGAATTAATTAAATATCATATCAATCCCTAACATGATTAACTTTCTCTAAACAAAATAATTAATATCATATAATATAATATTTTTAAAAATATTAACATGAATGTTACAATGATTTACAAGTTTGTACAACAGAACTCTTTAAATCATAAGACCAAATAATTAAATTAAGTCATTTTATAAATTGTTTTTAATAGTTTGCTAAGACTTTCTACCTTAATTTGCCAAGCCAAAATAATTGCAATGAATGAAATTCATTGTGACTAGCGAAATTCATATAATTAAATATTCATAGCTTAAACCACTTGATGAATCTCATTTTGCTATTATGCAAAATTCAATATGTTCACTCCATAGGTATTTACAATACAATTTCATAGTCAAATAAAATTCAAATTTTAGTAATTTAATTAACCCCTATATACTCAACAGATCACAACTCAAACATGAAATTTGACATTTTCCATCTTAATCATAAATTTTACATGCAAGACAAATTCTTAATCTCAAAGAGCACCAATTAAGAACACAAGCAGAGACATGTTTACCTTTTAAAACTCCTACTTGCATAAATAATTTAATTAGGATAAAAGTTAGTTTTTCTTACCTGAAGTTATCTTGCTCTTGAGGGTAATTGGCTTTGAATATGGTAAGTCAAGATGCTTAAGGACAAAGTCATCTTTTTCCATCAATTCTGGCATGTATATGTAAACTAACCCCCACATTCATATAAGTGAAAGAGAAGATAACTTGAAATATAATGAGGAAAAAACTTCTGTCGATCAACAAATAATGTAAGCATTGTTTAGACTAACTTCAAAGCATGAAGAAAAGAAAGTCCTTGAACTTGAGAAAAAAAAAATTAGAGAGCCGTTAAATAAAACAAAATAAAAAACCTATTTATTTTCAACTTTAAAACTAAATTAAAACATAATATCATTTTTTATTTGACCTTTAAAATTTCCTCTAAAACTAATATGATGTGGTCCTTACACAACAAATAAAAATGAAAACTTATATAATATATTATATTAACATATATACTTTTATCATTTTATATTTTTTAGCTATTTTAACATAAAGTTTTTTCAAATAATTATAGTTTACTATACTAAATTAATGACTTTTAGTTACAGTTAGTTTTTCAATTTTAATAAAAGTTAAATAAATTTGAAACTATAAACGACTAAAAAACATGCCATTTAAAATAAAATGAAATGAATTGGTTTCAAATACAAGTATTCAAATTCAATATACAAAAATAAATTAAAACCATGATGATCTATAACATTTTATGTTGGACACATTCTACAATTTAATTTAATACTTCTATTTTACTTTATAATCAATTACTTTATAATCAATTTATGTTGGACACATTTTATGAAGATCTAGTTGTTGTTTTTTATGATGTTCGTATGCAATGAATGGTTNTTACTGCTCTTGTGGTTTTCTCTCTCTAGCTTTTTACAACAGACAAAGACAGAAGCACAATTCAGTTCGTAAGTAAATTTGTCAGAACTCTCAAGGTTGGTCAATTTAATGTAAGAATTATTTGTTTAGAACAAATAGTACTTTTTATATTCATTTTCACTGCCCAAATTCTTGTGCAGTCTCAAAATAAAATCACTTTAATTCTTTTACTTTTTTTAGAATCTTAAAATTGTAGAGTTTTTTTTCTATAATTAAACATGCCCATGAGTAATCATTTAAAAAAGTTTATTTATAGGGGAAAATATAATCTAATTAATTCATGTCATGAATCATATTTACTAATAAACTATTGTTTTACTAAATAAAATTACCTCATTTGTTATTTTCTCTCTCCTTATTAAACAATAATGCACTTTCCACGTGCACTCTCAAAGGAAGCATTAAAGAATAATAATCCAACACATATGTGGAAAATGTTCATTTGAAGCTATGAAGAGTTAAAAAAGAACTGAATTAGTTTTAGGTTAAACAATGTGTCCAAAATTAGTTATTACTACTGTGAAAAGTAATAATAGGGTAGCAGCAGTACCCAATTTAACCACGCATAATAAATAGTTGTGATAGGTGTTATTTTGATATGAATCTGAACATGTTTTGTTACTGTTGGCGACTCTTACAGAAAGTACATTGATTACACATGAGAGAAATTAATGCGACGAAGCTACCAGCAGCACATGGTTTATGACAAATTGCTTCAGTTGGAGAAAGCTCATCAATTGGATCAAATTTCTTTCTTTTTAATTATTCTTATTATTTCTTCTTCATTAATTTATTATTTTCCCCGTTGAAAATTGAAATAAGATAACCAAAATCAGTAGAATAAAAGATCTTCATATACATTAAATTTTATGTCCAAGTGTGTCTTTGTTTATGGATGTGTTTTTCAATCTTGATGTATCTTTGGCCAGCTGGAATTTGACTATCTTGGAAGTATATCATGAATCTTCGTAGATAAGATCTGCATGGAAAACGATATGTTAATTACGAATTTTGTGAAAAAGCATATATATAAACCGCGATTCTCGGGCACTATTGTTATTTAAATCAATCCTTTTTACAACCTAAAAAATAAAAATTATCGTGTCTACGAAATTACGACGACTCACACGACTAGTGTAATATTTTAAATAATATAATTGTAATAAAAATTTAAAAATATTTTATAGGTCTTTATATTAGCGCATATTTACCCACACAGCTGCTTACTTTTTGTCATAGTCTTTTATTAGTGATGTTTCATAATAAATATAGAGAGAGTATATTAAAGAATAGAATTTAAATTTTTCAAACAATACAATTGGGACACTACTACTCTTGTTATCATTGAGACTCTTCTTTATATGTATTTTTATGGGTTCACCTATCACAATTATGAAACACATTGTTAATTAAAATATAAAGAAATCATATAANATTGGAATATCACCTTTATTTTGAGCCAAAAGCAAAGAAAAGTGAAATACTACTTGAAAACTCAATATTTTAAACTCCAATAGTAATCTCCGAGAATATTGATGGTGAACCAAGCTTGCTATTATCCTATAAATTACTTGGAACTAGAAAAGGATTGAACTTTGGCAAGCAATCTACCTTCTGTAGGACACAGGCACAATTCCAGCGCGGTATTGAGCAATGCGTAGGAAGACGGGCTGAGCGAGATCAAAGTGTTGAAGAGGAGGGTTACACCAGCCACCAGCATTGTTTGGTAAGGCATTGTTTGGTGGACAGAAATTGGTGGCAGTTACCAAAATGGATCCAGGAAGGCACCACTTGTGGTCATTTGCACACCTAATCTCAAAGCAAGAGCCACAGCTTAACCCATTGTTGAACAGCGCAGTGCTCAAAGCAGCAGTGTTTGTTCCATAGCCTTGGCTGTAGAGGTTTCCATACCCACATGCTCCACCTGCACAAACCCACAAATTATTAGTCCAATGGGTCGCTCCAAAACTCTTCAAGATCAGCATATTCAAGGTAAAAAAGGAATCTTTACGAACAAAAAACGAAACAGTGCTTTAAACTGCTGCATAGACCATACCCATTGTCCCTGATGCATCACTCCCTCCATAGAAAGTGGCATGAGCACTAGTCCACCCTCCATCATAAGCACGAGCAGAGGAGAGCATTGTGAGAAAACCCATCAAGATAACAAGAGCCATTTTCCTGGACAGGCAACAAAACAAAACAATCAGACAACTCATGCAAACATCACCTGTCTAGCCGAAGAAGAGTTTCTTCAGCCTCCAAAGATGGAACAACAAATTTAGGTACAAACGAAAAGGGCAATTACTTCGATAGTGAGGGGACAAAGAAAGGAGCAGCAGGTAGTGTGGAGAGAAGGAGTGTTGTGAAGAAAATGAGTGGGGTGCGACCTAATTTATAGACCCTGCCAGAGAGTGGTTGAGGAAACTAGGCCACAGTCACAAGTTCAACTAACTGTTTTGAATTGTTTAGACCAAAAAAACCGCTAAGGGTATAAGCGGTTTTACAATTGCTTATTAAAGGGTAGAATTGGTTTTGTATAAATTTGTTAGAAACAAAAAAAACTAACCGTACGAGTTACCAGATGTCCACTTTTGATGTTGCAAAGGGTGATTTGTGGATTGAAACCGTGTTGTTCAGAGAGGGAAAATCTCCAGAATCCTTGTGGGACATAGCTCTTTTGGCTTTGATGGTTAACAAGCATCAACCCTTTCCCCCAAATACCCTTTCTTCTTTTCCACTTCACTTCTCTGTGCTTCAAAACAGCAATAAATTTCACGGCTTTGAAATTTTAATTAAAAAATATAACTAAACAAATATATGCTTTGTATATATAAATATGGAATGATTCTAACCTTTATATAGAACTTTCAAATGACAGTCATTTCAAATTTAAATTGAAAAACTGTGTCTAGAGTTATTTCTTTACCCTTTAACAAAAACCCTTCATTCTTAACGAAAAAAAAAATCATTTCAGTGTTTACTGCTCTTGTGGTTTTCTCTCTCTAGCTTTTTACAACAGACAAAGACAGAAGCACAATTCAGTTCGTAAGTAAATTTGTCAGAACTCTCAAGGTTGGTCAATTTAATGTAAGAATTATTTGTTTAGAACAAATAGTACTTTTTATATTCATTTTCACTGCCCAAATTCTTGTGCAGTCTCAAAATAAAATCACTTTAATTCTTTTACTTTTTTTAGAATCTTAAAATTGTAGAGTTTTTTTTCTATAATTAAACATGCCCATGAGTAATCATTTAAAAAAGTTTATTTATAGGGGAAAATATAATCTAATTAATTCATGTCATGAATCATATTTACTAATAAACTATTGTTTTACTAAATAAAATTACCTCATTTGTTATTTTCTCTCTCCTTATTAAACAATAATGCACTTTCCACGTGCACTCTCAAAGGAAGCATTAAAGAATAATAATCCAACACATATGTGGAAAATGTTCGTTTGAAGCTATGAAGAGTTAAAAAAGAACTGAATTAGTTTTAGGTTAAACAATGTGTCCAAAATTAGTTATTACTACTGTGAAAAGTAATAATAGGGTAGCAGCAGTACCCAATTTAACCACGCATAATAAATAGTTGTGATAGGTGTTATTTTGATATGAATCTGAACATGTTTTGTTACTGTTGGCGACTCTTACAGAAAGTACATTGATTACACATGAGAGAAATTAATGCGACGAAGCTACCAGCAGCACATGGTTTATGACAAATTGCTTCAGTTGGAGAAAGCTCATCAATTGGATCAAATTTCTTTCTTTTTAATTATTCTTATTATTTCTTCTTCATTAATTTATTATTTTCCCCGTTGAAAATTGAAATAAGATAACCAAAATCAGTAGAATAAAAGATCTTCATATACATTAAATTTTATGTCCAAGTGTGTCTTTGTTTATGGATGTGTTTTTCAATCTTGATGTATCTTTGGCCAGCTGGAATTTGACTATCTTGGAAGTATATCATGAATCTTCGTAGATAAGATCTGCATGGAAAACGATATGTTAATTACGAATTTTGTGAAAAAGCATATATATAAACCGCGATTCTCGGGCACTATTGTTATTTAAATCAATCCTTTTTACAACCTAAAAAATAAAAATTATCGTGTCTACGAAATTACGACGACTCACACGACTAGTGTAATATTTTAAATAATATAATTGTAATAAAATTTTAAAAATATTTTATAGGTCTTTATATTAGCGCATATTTACCCACACAGCTGCTTACTTTTTGTCATAGTCTTTTATTAGTGATGTTTCATAATAAATATAGAGAGAGTATATTAAAGAATAGAATTTAAATTTTCAAACAATACAATTGGGACACTACTACTCTTGTTATCATTGAGACTCTTCTTTATATGTATTTTTATGGGTTCACCTATCACAATTATGAAACACATTGTTAATTAAAATATAAAGAAATCATATAAACTATAAATTATTCAAAAATGATAGTTTAGCTTTTCATTTTTTATCAAAGTCAAATACTTCAAAAGACTATATAGCTTCTAGAAAAATACGCTCAATTTAAATATGAGACCAATATTTGATACATCTCAATATATAGTAATTCAATTGTTCTCCAATTTCTATTACATATGTTAACTCACTTATGATATGATAAGGTAGTTACTTGTATATTAATTTAATTTTCGGTGAACCTTAAACACAAGACAAGTGGTAGAAACATATATTAGTTTTCTACAACTTGCTACTTTCTTAGTTATTGATTTCATATAAAGTTTCGAGTAATATAAGATGGAAGTAAAAAATATATTATAAAAATAAATAGTTGGTTCCACAGTAATAAAGATTTTGTTACAAAAGTTAAATTGTGCTAAGGTATACATTTTTTTTTGTCAAAAGGTTACATGAATAATAATATTTTTTTAGTAATTTTTAAATAGTTTAAATTTATGTTTTTATTTCTATTATGATTTGTGATTTTATTTATGTTTTAAGGTATTATTTTCTTATTATGTCACTAACTCAAAACGTTCATTCTACGTCACAAGTTTCATGTCAGGTAATGTAAAAAATCATATAAAAAAAGTGCGATGATATTTCTATAAATAATTTGAAAAGTTTAATATTAAACATTGTCACAAAAAAACATTAAATCACCATTTACATTAGTTCTGGGTGTAACCAATATCAATTTATGTTAGCCTTGAGTGTAACCGACAATCAATTTCTTCATTTCGATCCTAGGCGTAATTGATGTCAATTTTTTTTACCTTGATATGTTATAACAACCTTTTCATTATAACTATTTTACAATAGTCATATACTATTATTTTATTTGGTTCGTTTAAATTTATTTTTAGAAAAATATTTGAAACGAACCAATTACAATTCACAATGTCTACGTTATCAAAATGTTGTCAAACACGATTGTTAAAAAAATATTTTTCATATTTTTTATATTCATATCTAAAGGTTTTTTCTTCATTTTCACCGTGAAATAATAAACTAAAATGTTCTTTCGATTAGGATTTCATCACTGATAGTGAAAGAATGTACTAAAACATTAATATGCATTATCTAGGTCATGAATAATTATCTTTTTAGCACATTTCATAACTCAATATTTACACAAATATCTAGTACAAAAAATTATATTAATATAAATATAACGAATTAATTAAATATCATATCAATCCCTAACATGATTAACTTTCTCTAAACAAAATAATTAATATCATATAATATAATATTTTTAAAAATATTAACATGAATGTTACAATGATTTACAAGTTTGTACAACAGAACTCTTTAAATCATAAGACCAAATAATTAAATTAAGTCATTTTATAAATTGTTTTTAATAGTTTGCTAAGACTTTCTACCTTAATTTGCCAAGCCAAAATAATTGCAATGAATGAAATTCATTGTGACTAGCGAAATTCATATAATTAAATATTCATAGCTTAAACCACTTGATGAATCTCATTTTGCTATTATGCAAAATTCAATATGTTCACTCCATAGGTATTTACAATACAATTTCATAGTCAAATAAAATTCAAATTTTAGTAATTTAATTAACCCCTATATACTCAACAGATCACAACTCAAACATGAAATTTGACATTTTCCATCTTAATCATAAATTTTACATGCAAGACAAATTCTTAATCTCAAAGAGCACCAATTAAGAACACAAGCAGAGACATGTTTACCTTTTAAAACTCCTACTTGCATAAATAATTTAATTAGGATAAAAGTTAGTTTTTCTTACCTGAAGTTATCTTGCTCTTGAGGGTAATTGGCTTTGAATATGGTAAGTCAAGATGCTTAAGGACAAAGTCATCTTTTTCCATCAATTCTGGCATGTATATGTAAACTAACCCCCACATTCATATAAGTGAAAGAGAAGATAACTTGAAATATAATGAGGAAAAAACTTCTGTCGATCAACAAATAATGTAAGCATTGTTTAGACTAACTTCAAAGCATGAAGAAAAGAAAGTCCTTGAACTTGAGAAAAAAAAAATTAGAGAGCCGTTAAATAAAACAAAATAAAAAACCTATTTATTTTCAACTTTAAAACTAAATTAAAACATAATATCATTTTTTATTTGACCTTTAAAATTTCCTCTAAAACTAATATGATGTGGTCCTTACACAACAAATAAAAATGAAAACTTATATAATATATTATATTAACATATATACTTTTATCATTTTATATTTTTTAGCTATTTTAACATAAAGTTTTTTCAAATAATTATAGTTTACTATACTAAATTAATGACTTTTAGTTACAGTTAGTTTTTCAATTTTAATAAAAGTTAAATAAATTTGAAACTATAAACGACTAAAAAACATGCCATTTAAAATAAAATGAAATGAATTGGTTTCAAATACAAGTATTCAAATTCAATATACAAAAATAAATTAAAACCATGATGATCTATAACATTTTATGTTGGACACATTCTACAATTTAATTTAATACTTCTATTTTACTTTATAATCAATTACTTTATAATCAATTTATGTTGGACACATTTTATGAAGATCTAGTTGTTGTTTTTTATGATGTTCGTATGCAATGAATGGTTTAGAGTAGGCAGTTCTTAACAGGATATGTGTGTGTTTAGATTAATTGTAAAGCCAAATCAAGAGACTTTTGACCTTTTTATCGAATTTTTCCAATTTTTGATCGGAGCTAACTCAGACGAATTTGACTTGGCTGAGTTATATTTGTGGCCTTCTTGGCTTAATTCGGTCAATTTTAGGCTGGGACTGACTCAATTGAGTTTTAAATGTGTTCGACCCGACTGAATTCAACCAAAAATTTAGTTTTTTAATTCAAAAATATTGTAGTACAGTTCAAAATTAGTGTAGTTCGATACAAAAATACTGTAGTTCAGTTCAAAATTATTGCACTTCGAAAACAAGTTAACTTACAT